AAAATTACTTCTGATTTCTCAGCACAAACTCTAAAAGCCAGAAGGACTTGGAATGATGTGATGAAAGAAAATAACTGTCAACCAAGACTGCTATATCCAGCAATGCTATTCTTAAAAATCAAAGAAGAAATAAAAACATTCCAAGATAAGCAGAAATTAAAAGAATTCATGACAACTAAACTGGCACTACAGAGCTTAATTAATGAAATACTCCACATAGAAGAAAACAGAAGAGCTCATAAATAAACAAACCTCATTTGAAGAGTAGCTAAGCAAATGAGAAACAAAACCAAATTAAACATTATAATTAAATCAAAATGGCAAGAATTAATATACACATCTGTAATAACATTGAATGTAAATGGTCACAACTCTCAAATGAAAAGACATAGATTGGCAGAATAAATTTAAAAGATTCAACTTATGTTTTTTGCAAGATATACACCTTACAGGCAAGATAGGCACAGGTGTAAGTAAAAGACTGGAAATTAATATACAATCTAAATGGAACCCCCAAACAAGCAAGAGTAACTGCTCTCACATCTTACAAAAGAAGACTTCAAACCAAAATTAATAAGAAGAGACAAGGAATGTTACTTGACACTTGCAAAAGGAACAATCTAACAAGAAATAATAATAATAATAAAAATAAAAATATGCTCTAAACATGGGTGCAACTGCTTACATAAAAGAGACACTACTCAAATTGTAGTGTCAGGTAGAAGCCAGGACAATAATACTGGGTGATTTCAATACACCTTTCTAACCATGTGATAGGCATCCAGACATAAACTAAGTAAAGGCTCTTTGGACCTGAAAAATATGACAAATAAAAAGGACCTAACAGACATCTATAGAATATTTTATTAAACAACACCTGGATACTCTTTTTCTCACAATGGCTCATAGTCTTCTTGCAAAAAGACCATATTTTAAACTACAAATCAACTCATAGCAAGTGTAAAACAATTGATAAAATTTCTTGAATTTTATCAGATCATAATGGAATGAAATCAGAAATCAACAGAACAAAACCCTACAGAAACTATATGAACACTGGGAAATTGAATAATACACTTTTTAAAAAATTATTTATTCATATATTTGTTATACATGACAGCAGAATACATTTCAATTTATAGTACACATATGGAATACAATTTTGTTTTACTCTGGTTGTACACCATTTGTCTTCATACATGTACCTAGGATAATGATATCTATATCATTCCACCATCTTTTCTACCCCTTTCCCCCTCATTTTCCTCCCTTCCCCTGGCCCTATCAAAGGTCCTCTATTCCTCCCATGCTCCCCCTCTTCCCCATTATGGATCAGCATCCATTTATCAGAGAAAACATTCAGCCTTTTTTTTTTTTTTTAGGATTGGCTTACTTCACTTATTCCCCAACTTCATCCATTTACCTGCAGATGCCATGATTTTATTCTGTTTTAATGCTGAGTAATAGTTCATTGTGTGTATATATCACAGATCAAGATAAAGATCCATTCATCTATTGAAGAGCATTTAGTTTGGTTCCAGAATTTAGCTATTGTGAATTGTGCTGCTATAAACATTGATGTGGCTGCATCACTGTAGTAAGTTGTTTTTAWGTCCTGTGGGTATAAGCTCGCTGAGGAGAGGGATAGGTGGATCAAGTGGTGGTTCCATTCCAGATTTTCTAAGTAAACTTAATATTGCTTTCCGGATTGGTTGCACCAATTTTCAGTCCACCAGCAATGTAAGAATGTTCCTTTTCCCTTCACTTCATCGCCAATAGTTATTGTTGTTTGTATTCTTAATAACTGCCATTCTGACTGGATTTAAAAAAATCTTAAGAGTAGTTTTTATTTGCATTTCTCCAATTGATAGAGATGTTGAACATTTTTTCATATATTTGTTGATCGACTGCATATCTTATTCTGAGAAGTGACTGAATTACCAAAGCACTATACAGATTTAATGCAATTCAAATCAAAATCTCAATGACATTCCTCATAGAAATAGAAAAAGCAATCATGAAATTCATCTGGAAAAATAAGAGACTCAGAATAGCCAAAGTGTTCCTTAGCAAGAAGAGATCCTTATCAAGTGGCATCATTCTACCAGGCCTTAAACTATACTACAGAGCAATAGTAACAAAAACAGGATGGTATTGGCACCAAAATAGACTTGTAGACCAATGGTACAGAATAGAAGACACAGAGACAAACCCATATAATTACTGTTAACTTATATTAGACCAAGGATCCAAAAACATACATTGGACAAAAGATAGCCTCTTCAACAAATGGTGCCAGGAAAACTGGAAATCCATATGTAGCAACCTGAAATCCAACCACTAYCTCTTACCGAGCACAAAACTCAACTCAAAGCAGATCAAGGACCTAGGAATTAGACCAGAGACCCTGAGCCCAACAGAAGAAAAAGAGGCCCAAATATTTACCATGTCAGCTTAGGATCTGACTTCCTTAACAAGACTTCTAAAACACAAGAAGTAAAATCAAGAATCAATAAATTGGATGGATTCAAATTGAAAAGCTTCTTCTCAGCAAAAGAAACAATCAATGAGGTGAAGAGAGAGCCTACAGAATGGGAGCAAATTTTACCACATGCACATTTGATAGAGCACTAATCTCCAGTATATATAAAGAATCAAAAAACTTAAACAAAACAAATAATTCAATCAGTAAATGGGCTAAGGAACTGAATAGTACACTTTTGAATGATGGATGGGTGATTGAAGAAGTTAAAGGAGAAATTTTAAAATCCTTGGACTCAAATGAGAATAGTGATACAATATATCACAACCTCTGGAACACTATGAAGGCAGTTCTAAGAAGACAGTTTACAGTTATGAGCACTTACATAAGAAAACTACAATGATCTCAAATAAACMACCTMATGTTGCATCTCAAGGCCCTTGAAAAATAAGAGCAAATCAATTCCAATGGTACTGGCATAAAAACAGGCACATAGATTAGTGGTAAGKAATGGAAGACACAGAGACAAACCCACACATCTACAGTCACCTGATCCTTGACAAAGGTACCAAAAACATAAATTAGAGAAAAACAGAGTTTTTAATAAATGGTGCTGTGACAACTGATTATTCATAAGTAGAAAAATGAAACTAGACCCTTATCTCTCACCCTCCACAAAAATGACTCAAAATGGATCAAAGACCTGGGAATTAGATCAACTTTAGAGGAAAATGTAGGATCTATAATCCAACATATAGACATAGGCAATGACTTTCTCAATAGGACATATAAAGCTCAGGAAATAATGTCAAGAATTAATAAATGGGATGTACAGCAAGGAAAAAAATAGGAATGTGAAGAGAATTCTACACAATGGAGAAAATCTTTGCTAGCTATTCTTCTAATAGAGGATTCTTTATATATTCAATATATAAAAGAATGATAAAACAACTCATAGAAAGTTTATTCAAACAGTATGCATTGGATTCATATATAAAACACACCTCAATAATAAAAATGTAAATGGGTAAGGAATTGAATAGATATTTCTTCAAAKGAGAAATACAAATAGTTGATAAACTTGTAGAATATTTTTAACTTCATTAGTCATTAGGAAATTGAAAAGCAAAATGATAATGAGATATTACTTCATATACATGAGGATGGCTTAAAAGACAAATAGCGACTGTTAGCAAGTATGTAGGACCCACAGACATTTCTGGTAGGAATTTAAATGGAACATTCACTTTAGAAAATGTTTTTTTTTTTAAATTGTCACTTCCTCATAATGCTGAATACAGAGGTATGACCCAGGAATTCTATTTCTAGGTTTGTATTTGAGGAAAATGAAAACATAGTCATACAAAAACTTGTACATGAATGCTCATAATGTCATAGCTCATAAGAGTTAAAAAGGAGAAATAATTGAAATGTTCATAATCTGAGGATTTGGGAGATAAAATGTGGGCTATCCACACACTAGATTATTATTGGGCAATAAATAGGAACAAAGTCCTAATATATGCTACAACAGAGATTGACCTTGAAAACATGCAAAGTGTAACAAGCCAGTCTCAAAAGACCACATGTTGTATGATTCTATTGATATGARCTATCCAGAATAGAAACATTTATATAAAAAAAGCAAACCACTGGTTTATATATATAGGCTGTGCTAGGAGGAATGGAGAATGAGTACTAATGGGTATGAAGTTTAATTTTTGATAACTAAAATTTTCTAGATTAGTGGCGATGGTTGCTCCACTTGGTGAATATATTAAAAGGCATTTAGTTATATGTTTTTTAAAAAAGTGAATTGTATGGAATATTAACTATATCTTACTAAAGCTGTTATAAATTCCAACTTAGTCAAAAATCTATGATTTATTCATAGTATTAAACAGATGTTAGCAAATGGTGACCCCTAAGTCAAATCTGTCCTGTAGCTTATTTTCATAAATTAAATATTATTGGAACACAGCAACACTCATTCTTTATCATCTACATTTGATTTTGCATATTGAATTGTTGTGGTACATACCATTAGGCCTTCAGAATCTAAAACATTTACTGTTTGACTCTTTACAAAAAAATGTTTGGCAACCTTTGCTATGGAATAGCATTTTAAAAGAATGAGAAAAATCTTTGCTTATTAATAAATTAGATATCAAACATTATGTTAAGTGAAAAAATAAATTTGGAGTAATATGTAGAGTGGTAATTTGTATTTTAAAAAAAAGACATGGAACTCTAACCCAGCAATAAAATTATACTACTGAATAGGTACATTCACTGTTATGTAGATGTATTCTGAAACTATAATAGCCGTGCATTAATATCTCTGAGTAGAGCAATGGATTTTTGGAGTAGTAATCAGAAATGTATTCTAACCTTGATTGTATTATTTTAAACTCTTTACAAAGAAAATATCTAGGTGTTTTACATAAATAAAAACATAAATATAAAAKTCTAGCACATTACTGATAGATATAATACGATATTATATTATGTTTTTCAGAGCTGAAGATGATCAAAGCTTATTAGAAGCTGTGAGTATGTCACTTTCAATTTGAAATTGCAYCTTGTCCATGAGTTTTTAATAGCCTCTAGAAATTGCCATTATCCTAAATAGAGACACAATGTTTGCTCACTTTACTCAAAAGTTTTCTATGAAAATGTAAGCTGGAAAGCTTTGGGATGTTCTTTTAATTTTACTATACTTTATTATTACTCAGAAGCACTTCATTTATGAAATCTTAATATGTAATATTATATAGTCTTCAGAATATTTTCATTCATTACCAATCCTAGTTTTTATTAACCTTAATAATAGCTTTGTTATACAGATTAATAGCAATAATTCATTATTTTTAAAGAGTTAATGAAAACTTTGGTCTTCATTATTATTATTTTTCTTTAGAAGTACAAACAGATGCAAAATGATTTTGAATTATTATCAGAGGAGAAATCAGTGCTGGAAAATGAACTACAAAAGTTGAAGGATATAGAGGTTGGTAAAACTTTAGTGTCTAAAATTGACAYATAGTACCTAACGAAGCTGCTTATTTCAGGATAGGAATCAAAGTGATATTTAAATATTTTATAATAGATTTTCAAAATTAAAAATTATAATAGTTGTACTCTAAAAATAAAATGTWATCTTCTAAATTATCACATTAATTATCAAAACCAAAATTATGCTATGAAAACATTCTGAAAGATATTTATCTGCCAAATATTTAACTTCATCAATTTATCAGTAAGTTAGAATTTTCAAGAATCTTTTACTTGCATTATATATTTCCTCTGCAATTAACTAATGGTTTGTCATAGTTCACTATGCCAAGCACAGTGAATAGATACATCAAGGATAAAAAGTATTTTCTTGTTTTTATACAGCTTATAAATTTAAGTTACCGACAACAAAGTCAAATTGATTAGAAGTAAATTTTTATTTACCACTTAAAAACACCAGTTGTGTGGTTGGATGAACATATTATTGAATCCACTAATGTTGGATATTGATATTTCTTCCTTCCTAGAAGAAGAAGCCAACATAGTACTAGGAGATTAGCAATTTAATCAGTCAGAGAAGTAGTGATTCTATACAAGTATCAAACATAAGATCAGGACTGTTGTATATATTCAATTTAGAAATAATTCTCTTCAAGTATAGACCAAGTAGAAATAGAAAATCAGCACAAAAAAGGCTGAGAATCTATCATATAATTTGCCCATGTGTGCATTTTATTTTATTTTATTTTATTTTAGAGAGAGAGAGAGACTTTTTTAATATTTATTTTTTAGTTTTCGGCAGACACAACATCTTTGTTTTTGTATGTGGTGCGGAGGATCGAACCCGGGCCGCACGCATGCCAGGCGAGCGCGCTACCGCTTGAGCCACATCCCCAGCCCCCCATGTGTGCATTGTAATTTTGCACTTTTACAACCAATTTTCTTCCAACCTTCTTTTCATAACTTAATAGTTTCTCTCAATAATTTTTTAGACAGCCAAGCCTGATAACAAAAAACATATTTGGTTTCTGTGCTTGCTTGTGAAATRTTAATCAGTGTTACTGTGAACTGGTTGTTTTATTTTCTTTTTGTCTCAATTTTCTATTTTTATAGTGTTTCATTAGGTTTTTCTGTCTTATGTATATTGCCCAACTACAAAGCCACTTTCCCATTTTTGATTTTATGTTATAGCACCATCCCACTTCCAGGTCTCCAAATCTGTATTCTTGCTTGTATCCCGTGCAGGAGCTTGCTGAGAAATAAAAGCTAGGAAAAATAGAACAACAAAAAAATCACAGGACATAGAAAGTAGTTTCAGATGGATTGAGCTTCTAGACTAATGACAAAATGCAACCTGTGCCTGCTTTATTTATATCAAGAAACATCAAAGGCMTTCCATATAATGTTCTTCACCAAAAAAAGTTGAAAGTGGGTTGTCTCAACAGGTTATGTCCATCTCTGGAGCTATTATGGGCAATGTTCCTAGCAGAGTAGAGATAAAGGTCATGTGCGTTCGGCAATCTATTGCAGTGAGAGAGCCACAGATAGTTCCCAAGGTCAAACCTAAATCTCTCTGGCTTTCTGAGAGAGAATTTCCTCATGTATTTCACGGATGGCTTCCTGAACTGTATTACTTTTCTATTGGCTTGGTTACCTTAAGGTTTATAGTGTTTGACACAATCTACCTTCAAGTGATATTAAATCACTTGACATATAAGAACTTTAATATGTTAGCCCTTCTCAGTCTTTATGCTATTGTTTTCATACATTTTACTACATCTGATATAACCCCCAAATATTTTGTTATTAGGATTTCTTTAAAAGACTATATATTTTTTTAAAAAAATTTTAGTTGGTAGATGGTCACAATACCTTTATGTATTTTTTTTAAGGTGCTGAGGATTGAAACCAGTACCTCACATGTGCTAGGCAGGCACTCTACCACTGAGCTACAGGCCCAGTCCCAACTATATTTTTTATAATGTTTATTCTAAACCATTTAACTGTATAGAAGGGCATAGTACTACTGTTTCTATTTTTCAAAGTGTATAATTGATGGTGTCTGTATGATGTGCTTCTAACCCATTTTCCCCATACATCCTGCAGGTTTTATTGCATGTGTTTGCATAGTAAAGTAATTTTCAGAATGTCATACACTACATTACAACAAAACTGACTGTAGTTTATCAGGGTGACTAAATTATTTCAATATATATTAACTTATATACATTTTGTATTCAAAAAATACTATTACAAACAGTTCAACTATAATCACTAATTTTGGTTTGCTTCTGTTTAAATAAGTTTCTTTGAAACATAGTATAGTGACTCTTGGAGTAAAATGGAAACCTTAGTAATGTATATTTTCAAATATTTTCCCACAATTTTTTGTGTACTTAACCATTTATTTCTGGCTTATATAAGATTACACAGAAAAAACATGTAAGTGATCGAACAAAGAAAACTGTAAAAATAGAAAAGAAAAAAGACAAAGAAAAGCCAGTGGATTCAGAAAGGTAAGACAAAGATACATGCTAATATTTTTCTTCTTTATTAATTGAAATTTTTATTTTTATTACATACCAATAATTTAAGGTCATATAAACACGACGGGTTTTTTAAAATATAAAATTAGGAAATAGCTTTATAAAAAGACCAGGGTATGATTATGGGAAAAATCATCTAATTAATGCTTTGTGCTTTGTTAAATCCCCAAATCAAATCCCCAGAATTTATTATTTTCTACTGGAGTTTTTATTTGTATTTATTTTTATAAAATTTAACTTTTATGTATAATGGCATAATTTTGCATGAACATACTTTATATACAGAGTTATGAAAAATGGTGTTGTGAATGGATAATTATGATTGTGATGCATTCCACTATTTAAAAAATGTAACATGATTAAAATATCCAGAAACATTAAAAAAGTAAACTTTTATGTATATGGATTATTATAAAATGACTTTATTAAATGAATGTTTTCATTAGTATTATAAAATAATCATTCCATTTTTAATTTGTTCACATCTTAAAATATAGTTTTTGAAAAGAAACTGTGAATTTATTTTTAAAGAGTCCCATGAATGCTAAAAAGAAATTTGTTTCAGTCATCTTTTTTGCTGCTGTGACTAAGAATAAGGACAAAAACAATTTTAAGGAGTAAAAGTTTGAGACCCAGGGTTTCAGAGGTCTCAGTTCATAGACAGACGATTCCATTATTTGGGGCATGATGTGAGTGGCAGAAAAGTGGCAGAGTAAAGCAGCTGGAAACATAGAACCAGTAAGCAGARAGAACTCTGCTGAACAAGGACAAAATATATACCCCAAAGGCATGCTCCCTGATACCAACCTCCAGCTAACCCCTATATGCCTACAGTTACCACCAATGCCTTTCATGTGATAAATGCACTGATTAGGTTAAGCCTTTTATAATCTAATATAAATCTCTTATAATCCAGTAACTTTGTCTAAACTTTCTTGCATTGTCCCATGCATGAGCTTTTGGGTAACACCTCACATATAAACCATAACAAAATTCACTGGACAAAAGATTTTTGTCTTTGACTTAGAGAAGAAAAATGATCAGAGAAGAAAAAATGACCAATATTTTTTGAAAATATCAGCACTTCATGTTTTATTCTCTCTTATCTCCCTTCTTCATATTCTTGATTATACCAGTAAGAAGTTAGCCTGACATGTGTTACTAAATTGTTATCATTTAACCTGTATTGATTTAGTAGCTTTTAAAAATTAAGAATTCTTAAAATTGTTATTCATTTGGAATTCTTTAAAATTCTCTTTAAGAAAGCAAAGCAGTGATGAATTTTAGAATATTATTTACATTTTAAAACATTTTTAATTACAGGGTGTTGTCTCAAGGAATCCAGCTTAAAGTAAAAGAAAGTTTGTTTCAAGTCCAGGTAACACACACTCTCTATAAGTTTATGTCCTTGCATTTGTAGAACTCAGGCACACAATTCATAGAGGCAGTCTGCAGTTCGCAGCTTAGATGAACTTTTCCAAAGGCATGTCATATTATAGCATCATGCCTTTTTTTAATGCCAGCTAGGAATCTCTTTGTCTGCTAACTCAGAATCTTGTACAATGTAACTGATCATGGGGGTGGTATCCCGTCACCCTTGATATATAATTTAACATAAGAGAGTAGCATTCCATCACTCCCATATGCTATTAACTAGAAGCAAGTCACAGGTTCTACCTACTTTCAAAGGAAGTGGATTATACAGAGCATTACCATATTGCTGAAGATCAGGATGCTATCCTTGAATTCTGCCTATGGTTTATTTTAGCTAGCACAGTATTTTCTATATTTAGAAAGAAAAATCTATTAGCTGGACATGGTAGCATGAACTTGTAGTCCCAGCTACTTAAGATGCTGAGGCAGGAAGTCATTTGAGTTGTTAAATTGGAGACCAGACTGGGCAATAACAGGGAGATCCTGCCTCAAATTTTTTTTAAATAATCAAATTATTAATATTAGAAGTCTTAAGGCTGATTGTGCATGGTGGCACATGCCTGTATTTCAGCAGTTTGGGAGGCTGAGGTAGGATAGTGAGTTCAAAGCCAGCGTCAGCAATGACAAGGTGCTAAGCAACTCAATAAGACCCTGTCTCTAAATAAAATACAAAATAGGGCTAGGGATGTGGCTGAGTGATTGAGGGCCCCTGAATTCAATTCCTGGTACCCCTCCCTACCACTGTGGCTTAGAGATGAATCTGCCTAGAAGAGTTCTTTTTCTCATTCATCAAAGTCACTCTATCGACTAGCAGTCAATAACCATAGTTGCACCTAACAAAAATTATCCTTAGATAAAATGATATTCAAATATTAGGTTATTCTATTAGCTTTTGATTTTCAGATTATTTGTTAGAGAAATAGAGTGCATTTATTGTAGACAAGCATCTCATTGGATGATTTGCAGCTTTATCATRTGGAGATAAAAGATAATTGAATTTTAATAAAAACTTTTAGAAAATGGAAATATTTATACATATTTTAATATTCCATGGGTTAAATCATGTACACCATATTTTCACACCCCGGATGTAGTTACTTTTATTCCATATTTGTAGAAGAGATATGGAATAAATAGACTAGGTGTACAGAATTATCAAGTATACTCTGGTTGGACTAAATAGTCTAAGGACTCTTTCTTTTTGTAGGTGGCACTAAAATGATTACAAGCACAAATTGAAATGTGATCTTCCCTTTGTTTTCAAGGGTCATCACCTTTCTAAAGTGACAGAACTTTTATATATATATCCTATGCATAGTGCCAAGAACTTTGTTTTTCTGTAAAAACTCTTTACTCCCAAATGTGAAGTCTATAATGCAAATGTAAACAGTAACTTTAATTACATTCTATATTTCCTTAATAAAATTGAATAAATTTCCTGTATCTTACATAATATATTATATAGGAGGTACAGAACTGAAAAATGCTGATTTTTCCCCTGAATTTAAGGTTGCTAAAGGATTTTGAAGCTGAAATATAGAACATAAGCATGGGAAACATAATGTTTCCAACTAGGTCCAGCAAAATAAATGGCATAGTAGCTAAGAATTTGGAGTTTGAGTAACACTGTGGAAAGATAGAAATAAAGTAGCAATACTACTTAAGGGAAATTCAGTACTTGAGTCTGATAGGAGTTTTGAATTAAACATAACAGTAGTAGGAAGCCTAATAGGTGCCATTTACTAATGACATCAGTAGTTTGAATTTGATTGAGTAGGAAATGGGGTCGTATTGAAGAATATTAGAAATGAGCCACTTGGTATTTTTTATTGAGATTATTCTTCCAACTATATCAATGATAAATTTTGGAGTATAGATTGGATTTTTCAATCAGCTTATGGCTCTTATGCATGCTAAACATCTCCAGCCCAAATTATATAAATTTATTAAGATAGAATTATAAATAGCATTACTTATAATCTAAATTTATACTATTGCCAATGGGAAGATTTAATTTTATTTAAAACTAATATAGTGCATTTCTAATCAGAATTCAAAAAGAAATTTTTTAAAAGGGAAAAATACTTTGAAGATTATATACAATTTACCTATAAAGTAATGTGAGAGCCTTCTTCTTTCAATTTATTTTGAGATAATTGATGAATCTATTTGTCTTTGTAAATTTTGATATAAATTCATCCATCTTAATGTTTTTACAAATTTGTTCATTAGAATTTTACTCTGTATTAGTGTTCTCTTTTTGTATCTATACTTATATTGTTTTTCCACTTCTTTTCGATTTACAAAAATATTTGTTTGTTTTGTTTGCTTCCCTTCTTTCCCTTTTATTTAGGGAAATAAACAAATAAATCTCAGGGGATTACCTACTGTACTTGTTTTYAGTTAACCAGTTTTGGGTTTCATTTAGTTGTTTTACTGTTGTCTTTCTTGTTATTATTTTCTATTTAATTATTTCCAGCTTTATCTTTTAAATTGATTTTACTTTTTTATTTTGTTTAGTGTTCATTTTTAATTCCACCATGCGGCCTGCACAATGGTTTCATTAATGAGGTTCTAGGCATAAAGTTAGCTAGATGAGATGGAAATAAAACACACAGACTCAGTTACCTTATTTCTATTGCCAGGTCCGAGACGGCTCACCTCTCTGGTTCCCTCCTCTAACCGCCCAGCAGGGCAGCAAGGATTACTCAGGGCTAGCAGGAGAGAGAGAGAGTTTGAACACGCCTGGGAGTAGCCTTTTATTGGGGAACAAGAGATTCAGGGGAGAATTCCATCCAATGAAGGTTGAGGGGGGGCTGCACTGCAAGGTCAGGGTCAGTGATTGGGTCCCCGGGGTCAGTGGTCAGGCACACCCCCACAAGGATGGGCTCTCTCATCAAGAAAGGGCCAGGAAAGCTTTGACACAGCCAAAGCGCCTCAGACCCTTAATGGGAGCCACCCAATCACGTGTCAGAAATGGCTTCCCACAATTTTTTGATAATTTGCATTGTTTTATGTTATATAATTAATTCATTTATTTTAAGCTTTACTTAATAGTAGTAACATACTATCCAAGCAAAACACTATACAAATTTCACTGAATAAAACTTTATTTGTATTTCATAGATATTTGAGGGTTTTTGTTTCAAAATGTTTTTAGTTCACATTCTCATTGTTGATTTCTCTTTTATGGAATTATTCCTGTCTACTTGTTTTAAAAGATTTTCTTCATGATCAAGTACATGTTTGTTTTTTATCTATTGTTCTATAACAGACAACACTAAAAGTTGGAGATTTAATACATCAGTGGTTAATTATTTCTCATTGATTTTTGAATTGACTGGGCTCAGCTGAATTGTTCTTCAGCTATTATATGCCTTGCATGACTTCAAGAGGGCTTGCTTTCAAGCTAAAATCATAAAAATCTGAATCCTACCTAGGACTATTCTTCCAAGTATCACGTTCCATTCAACTCTCCTACTACTTGATTGCTCATCAGTATTTATTTGCATTTTTGTCCAGAGTTTATGGTTRTTAGCTGTAGCATGGCTTGTTTAGTGGAAACTTGTTCTGACATACCAGAAGCATAACTGGGGACTTTAGATATGTTCCTCTATTTTTCATCTGATGGACAATTTSTGAGATCTTTCATGTGTAATAGAACTCATTCATTCAAACAAAACCAGAACTCTTTATGTTGTGGTGTGTAAAGACTCATTTGGAATGTTTCTATTTAAATATTCAGGTCTAGAGAAAAGAAGAAATAAAGTATTTAATGTACATCAAATTTACCAGATTCTGATCAATTTATTGCCTATGGGAAATCTTTAGCTAATATCTACCCAAATCTGTGCCTGAGAAATATGCAGTTAAATGTGTGTGTTCAAATCATTATTTTGACKCTCTATGGACTTTAGAAAAGTAGTAATTATAAAATAAATTAATTTAAAAATACCCATGTGAAGAACTTTTTCTCTTATTACTTCCTAGAAACGAGCAGATGCTCTGGAAACTGAGAACAGAGTTCTTCAGGAACAACTAAAACAGGCTTTACAGGTAGAGGATATCACGTTACTTGAAAATTATTATAAATGAAGAACATATTCATAATGAACTTTTCAAATGAATAATTGCAGCCTTATAAATAAATAGATTTATATATTATACTATTCTATGAATTTTAAAATACTACTTTATGCAATGTGAATATATTAATAAAATATAATATTCACTCTTATCAAAATCAGTAAACTAGAAAAAAGTATACTTTCTGGATTTTTTTTTTCAGGGGTTGAGGGTACCAGAGATCTCTGAGCCAGATCTCCAGCTTCATTTTCTATTTTATTTAGAGACAAGGTCTCACCATGTTATTTAGCATATTGCTTTTTCTGAGGCCGGCTTTGAACTTGCAATCCTCCTGCCTCAGCTTCTCTAGCTGCTGGGATTACAGGCATGCAACACCATACCCAACAAAAGTAATAAAACAAAGCAATCTCTTTCAAATTCAAAGAAAATATACTTGAAATTGCAGGCATTTCTTTCTTTTTTTTATATTTATTTATTTATTTATTTTTATTGGTTGTTCAAAACATTACAAAGCTCTTGACATATCATGTTTCATACATTAGATTCAAGTTGGTTATGAACTCCCATTTTTACCCCAAATACAGATTGCAGAATCACATCTGTTACACGTCCACATTTTTACATAATGCCCTATTAGTAACTGTTGTATTCTGCTACCTTTCCTATCCTCTACTATCCCCCCTCCCCTCCCCTCCAAAACTCCATAAAGTGAAGATATTTACTCTCATGCTAATTTTCAAATTCTAGCTACTAAGATGAGAAATCAAAGAAACCACAAATGTTTTAATAAATGGATAGACAAAAATATAATGATTTGTATGCTATAATAAATTTATAAAAATATACAGTTTAAATAACAGTGATAAATTAAAAAATTGGCTGGGACAAAATAAGATTTAGAATAGAGAATAATAAAGCAAAAGATTTTATTTTTATCCAAAATTATTTAAACGTAATTATTCCTTTAWAATTAAGAAATTATAAAAATTAGTATAGCATGATATTAAGATAGCATATTAAAAAAATAATGCAGAGAGCTTTATATGAAGAAAAATTACAGAACTTTACAGATGAACAGTGAAGAAATAAAAATTTATAATGGGTTTTAGAAAATTGATATTGTTAGTATTTTGATTTCCATATACCCAAATTGATATACCAACTTAAAACAATTACTTTTACATACAATTTAAAAGTTAATATAAGATAAAAGGAGATAAGAAAATGGTAATTATACAAAAGAAGAGCAAATAAGGAGGACTCACTCATCAACATATAAATAAATCTTTAATAATTAAATCACTGAGATTCTGGTTCTGGTACTGAATGGAAAGTTCAGAAACAAATTCAAAGAAATATAATAATTTAGCATTTTATATACTTTTAGTTATTAGAAGTTTTCATAGAAGGATACAGTAGCCACACAACGTAAACATTAAATTGCAGATTGTTTTAAGATCCAAAAGTAATAAATGAACTATGAAGATATTAGAATAAACACTGGATAACAGCTAAATGGTATTGACTAAAGTAAGCACCATACCCCACAATAATGTTAATAAATTTAATTTTATATAAATTTAAAACTTTTTATAATAAAGAACAAGATATAAAGATAAAAGGAAAATATTTTTATTTTATATGGAGATGTTTCACAAACATATAAGAAATATGGACATCCTTTGCCTAAAATATTTAAATAACACAAATTGGAAAGACATAATTCAGAAATGCTAATAAAGGCATACAAATATATTCAACCTCACTAATTATTGAATCAATGCAACTTAAAGTAACAGTGGAATAGGTTTTTTTAAACCTAACATTTTGGTAAAAATTTAAGGAATAGAAATACCTATATTTCTTAATGGATGCTGAAATGAATAATCTTTCACATATTTCTGTTTTCACTAAGAATTTGTATTTTTCTGAAAGAAAATTTATAGCAAAAGTCTTGGAAAGCTATAGCCATTTTGTTATGCAAGTTCTAAAAATTTACAAAAAGAAAAAAGTGTTCAGAAATTTTATGCTAATGTGTAAAGTAATATTTTTTTAACTGAAAAGGTTTTGAAATGATTTAGAAGCCCACTGATAAGGAATTTACTAAATATATTATGGTATATTACTAAATACATTAGCTGGATGTGGCAGCTGGAAGTTTGCTGGGGCCCCTTCGGCTGTGGCTCTCAACAGTTATCTACTCTGGTAAATGTATGTTTATTGTCATGGAAACATACCTATGATATTAGCATATTATGTGACTATGTATAGTATGATTCAATATAAATAAAAATTAAATATACACATATATATATATATATACCAGTATATTTAGAAATAACTTAAAAAATTATGCATCAGAAAGTGATTTTTCTCTTCATGGTGAGACTTTTTTTGAATTTTATTTTTATTTATATTATTTCTAATAAAAACTATAAAAAGAGACATTTTAAAGAGAAATTTATTTCTAGAAGGAATAAATAGCTTAGTTTCCAGTTTCTTTCATTCTTTGTTATTATGGTGGTAATTGTCCTGCTTATCTACCACTTTTAATAATAAATACTTGTTATTTTTATTTTGCCATTATAATAGAGTCTTAAAAGATAGAAACTTGGAGAAACACTTATGTTTTAAAAAATTGCCCTTAAAAATGGAAGGTTTTGCTAGGCATGGTGGTATACTGTAATCTCAGCAATTCAGGAGGCTGAGGCAGGAGGATCACAAGTTCAATGCCAGCCTGTATCAAAATAAAAAATAAAAAAGGGCTGGGATGTGGTTCAATGGGTTCAATCTCTGGTACCAAAAAAAAGTAAAAATAATAAATAATAATAATAAATGAAAGTTTTCGATTTTTAGCAGTGAAGGAATATTTATTCTTGGCCAAGAATAGAAAAAGTGGGAGATAAATTTGCAAATAAATTTCTCTACCTGTTGAGGATCTAGAAGTTAGARATAACAGGGGAAATGAAATGAGGTTAGGGCTGGGAAGATTTTCTGGTAATCTGGGTACCACTTCTTTTCACTCGTTTTTTGGTTCTTTTCAGTTGTGTCATGGCAGTTGTCGGGTCTCAGGGTACTGGGAATATGTGATTTAGCATGCAGATGGATAGTACTGAAGTCATTCTGGGAGACATTTTAGATACAACAAATTTCATCCAACACCAGAACTTCTGTAACTTGGCCTACTGGCATTGGTTTTGGAGGTTTCAATCCAGGATCTATTGGCCCATTGRTTTGGGGCCTGTGTCGAGGCAGTAGACAATGCTCTACAGCTTTTAATTTTAATTATCAAACTTTAAACTATCCATTATACCAAAGGTTTAACTTAGTTTCCTCTACCACATCCAGGTCATTTTTATTTAGTAGTCAGATGTGGTAGCCTCACCTGTCATCTTCTTAACTACTCTGAGGGCCGAGGCAGGAGAATCTAAGCAAGACTGGGTGAGTTAGCAAGACCTTGTTTCRAAACAAAAAATAAAATGAGCTGTGATGTAGCTGAGTGGTAGAGCATCTCTGAGTTCAGCTGTCAATATGAAAATAATAATATTAGATATTTTAAAATTGAGAAATCATATGGGCATAAATAAATGTGGATTCCTGGAGGTTGTAGTATTGTCAGGAAAATGTCACAGAAAACAATGCTTGACATATTTTACTTTCTTAAAAACAGGAAGCAGAAAGAAGTAAGCTTCAACTTGACTATTTCCTAAATCAAGGGGTGGAGCTTATTAAAAGTGAAGGGAAGACCAAAACAATGGAAACGGGTTTTGGTAAAACACAAGGTGAACATTCAAAAAATATGCCATTGGACAGAGAGAAAAGGGCAGCATTTGTTTCAAATTCAGGTGAACAAAGGACAAATGATATAATCCAAGAGGTGAGGAGATAACCAAAATAGAAATAGTAGTATGTGTTGTAGCAAATTTATCTTTCATATCATTACTTACTTCTTTTGCCTTTTTTCTTAAAGTTTTATCAATTCATTATTATCTTGTATAACAAATTATAAATTATGTATATTTGGATTTTGAATGATCATTTAAGCATCTGATATTTGAGAAACAGAAGAAAACACGGTTTGAAAACTAATGATATCCTGCTATAAATTAATAAAATTAAATATAAATTCAAAATTATGGAGAAAAAAACTCTTAAAAATGTCTTATTTTTGTTTCTGTGAAGACAATAGATTCAGAAACTCTTTTTAACTTTGTTCAGACTTGACCTCCAGGCCATTGTACAGGCTTTTGTAATGCATATCATAAATATTTTGTTGTATCACACTGATATACACTTTATGCTTTAATTACATTGTACTTAAATTCATTTAAATTACTGTTTCCTGTCACATTCAGGATTTTGAATATTTTATTCTCTTTTCTTGAAACCCTGTTTCTTCACTTTGTCTTTTCTAAAATTCATCTTGTTTAAAAATAAATGAGAATCAAAAAGTAGTAGTATGGCTGGGGATGTGGCTCAAGCGATAGCGTGCTCAACTGGCATGCACGGGGCGCTGGGTTTGATCCTCAGAACCACATAAAAATAAAATAAAGTTGTTGTGTCCACCCAAAAGCAACCAAAAAAAAAATTTTAAATTCATTCTCTCTCTCTCTCTCTCTCTCTCTCTCTCTCTCAAAAAAATAGTAGTATTTCACTTATCTTTTGCTACATAAAAATTACCTCAGAATTGAGTGGTTCAGACAATAGATGTATTAATTATCTCACAGTATTTGTAAGTTAAGGATCCAGATGTATAACTAAAAGGAACCAATAAAAGAAAAATAGAATTTAAGTTTGCCTTAGCTGGGTCCTATGGCTCAGGATCTCTCATAAAGATTTAATCAACATATTCTTCATTTATCTTAAGATCCAAGTAGATCTTAAATGTAGTTAATATGTTGATATGTTAATATCAACATATTAACTACATTTATCTTAAGATCCAAGTAGATCTTAAATGTAGTTAATATGTTGATATGTTAATATCAACATATTAACTACATTTATCTTAAGATCCAAGTAGAGGAGAAAGTACTTCAAGTATTTCACTGGGCTCACATTTGAATGCAACATTCATTAGGCCTCAGATCCTTGCTGGCTGCTGGCTTGAGGTATCAGTACTTTTTCATGGGGGTTTCTCCATAAGAAAGCTTACAACATACAAGCAAGGGCAGAGAGACATAGAGATCAATAGATGGAGAGAGAAAGAGAGTGAGGGAGGGAGGAAGAGAATGCCTTAAACCTAATTTCAGAAATGACATCTCATCACTTTAATCATATCACTTTCATTAGAAGTTTAGAAGTAGTAGCATTATGAACAGTTCACAAATAACAATATACCATAGGCATGAATACCCTGAGGCAGGGAACAATGGAAGMTGGCTATTTTAGAGGCTTCCTACTAAACATAGATTGGTATGAGATTGTGATAACTCCCAAACTGAATGCTAAATTAAGCAGTTTGATCTTCAATACTCAGGAAAGGAAGAAACACTGAAAGTTTTAGGTAAATGAATAATAAGTAAGATCTATGTTTTTAAACATAGAAAGTAATTATACCATTGATGAGGCAGATGGAGTCTTCTCTTTCATTGATCCTATAATTAATGAAGTCTTTTGTGTATATTGTAAATATGAACTTATTTAAATGTATTTTTTTTTTTGCTAATTTAACTCTTTTGGAAGCTATGACATTGCTGTATCAAAATAAAGCTTTCTCTAAGGTTAGAAACATCCAATGTTCTTGGATCTGGGTTTCACAGAGATTCTAGCTTGTCACCCTGTGCTATGGGGAATGGAAGCCTAAAATCTAAAAGGGGTAAAGAAGAAAATATTTGGATTTCTTCTACTAGACACTAAATTATATTATACAAAGGTCTGACATACACACACACACACACACACACACACACACACACACACGTGTGTGTGTGTGTGTGTGTATATATATATATATATATATATATATGACATTTTGGAAAAGTAGTTCTTATATTGTTTTCATATCTGCTTTTAAGATTTTTTTGTAGAAGAGCCATCTTTTTAAAATTAATTATTACATCTTCTGTTAAGAACTATCAAGATTATATACAAACCCTTAGTGAAATATAGTAATACTTTATAAGAACATAATGAGGATAAAATAAGGTTTATGAACTGCTTTTCTATGTTGTGAAGCACTATGTAAATGTTTTATTGTATCATTATTTAGCTCTGTCCTAGTTTTCTGTGTAGAGTGTAGGAAAATCCCTTTTGATATGTTAATTAGTATCAAGGCTAACCATTTTGACATATAGACACAAAATGTATAATGGCTCAAACATTATACTTTATTTCCTTGTGCTAATAGTTTAAGAAGTTAAAGGTCAGTATTCAAGGTAGAGAGTTGTCTCCAAGGCCATTCAGGTATCCTGGCATGTGCAGTCTTTACCATCTTAAATGTGATGTCTTGCACCACACTAGGCATAGATATCAACTATCAGAAGAACAAACAAGAGTAATTTTCATTGACAAGGGTGGAAGTGGAACATATCATTTTCTTTCATATTCTCTTTGCCACATTTAACTTCAGGGGGAATTTAGGAATGTATACTAGCAATGTGAAGAAAAGAAAATTAGTTTGGTAAACACAAATTTGCACGTAGGTAAGGATAAGCCCGCTAATCTCTGCATAAAAGAAACCAAGTTAGATGAAATTCAGGCCTGGAGTAAAACCTAGAATCAACATTTATGGTGTAGGGAAATATGTATCATGTTCCCAAGAGATAGTCTATTAGTGAAATCACATTTTTAAAATCACAGGTTTTATATATTTTAATCACACACCTCAATAAATATAGTGTGCATTCAGATCATACATTTTATAAAAATTTATAAAAAGCAGTAYTATGTTTGTATATTGTATGTATTAGCCTTACAAACTCTTCCAAATTGATRTTGAAAAATGATTATATAATTAATATACGTTTAAAGTAATTTTATTTACTAAAAGTGTAAAGCCCTCTTTGCTTTTAATTTAGAGAAGTAAAGTATCATTTGGTGACCTGTTCTCCTATAATGTCTATTCCAATGACAAAATATGGTAATTTATTATCTTTTTTTTGATAACCTTAGTATTACACAACTGTCATATTAAGAAAAGTATTTTGAATGATATTTTTAAATGATCTGATGTAAATATTTTATATGTATTTAGTATATTAAGATGTATTATTATCTTTATCACAGATCCCAATCGTCCAAAATCAAAGACCAATTGAAGAAAGGTAAAACATTTAAAAAWTTTTGTTCTTTTTCTAATTTTATGAGTTCATACATCTGTGATGAAAATATCCAATCAAAATCCAGTGTCTAAAACTTGTTGATTTACATCTTTGCTTATAATATTGTACCCATATATGTGAAGTACATTTTTTTGAAACACATTTTAAATAGAGAAAAGTGTGAAACTTTAGATGTCAAAGACTGAACAATTTTAATTCAGTGAGAAATCAAAAAGTTTAAATAAAAAATTTGAAGTAAGACCATAAGCAATTAAATTTCCAGAGAGGAACTGCCCCTGACCTTTGTTTCAAGTTTAGTTATCAAAATTCATGACCTAGATTAGTAGGATTTTTTTTTTTTGATACTGGGAATTTAACCTAGGAACACTTTACTACTGAGCCAAATCCCCAACCCTTTTTATTTTTATTTTGAGAAAGGATCTTGCTAAGTTTTCCAAGGCCTCTCTAAGTTGTCAAGGCTGACCCTCTAAATTGCAGTCCTCCCTACTTCAGCTTCCTGAGTGACTGTGATTACAGATGTGCACCACCATGCTTGTCATGACTTATATTTTTAAACAACTCACTTGAAAACATTTTTGAATTTGATTTTTTTCTCAGTTACTTGAAAAATATATATGTGTTAATATATATTTATAAACATATATAAATTTAAATATATATTGTTTATATTTATGTATTATATACATACAAATGTACATAAATGTTTGAGTTTATTGATTCATCCAGTTAGAAAACTTGTAGTATTCCATTGTGAGTCTGTATGATTAGCCATATTAATAGTAATATGAATAGCCATAGAAATAGTAAGCCTGAACTACAGGTATTAGTAACAGCAAATTCTGTCATTAAGAGTTACATTGTTATTTGGTGAAAATAAATTGTGTCAATGTTTCCTTTTTTGTTGACATAAATTATTGAGAATTCAAATCAAATATACATGAGGAATTTGTTTACTCCTTAATTTTACAGAGCCTAATGTGTAAATTTTTTTGGTTTTGATTACCATGTAGAAAAGAAAAAAGAATTACCTACAAATATGTATTTCTCTCCTTTATTACCATTTTTAATATTTCTAGATTATATATCTAGATGAATTACTAAGTATTAGGTAGTAAGTGTGATGATTAATGGTCAAAGCTTTGAAAAGTTCCATTTTTCATGTTTGTAGAGATTATATTTTTTAAAGTGTGTATTTTTTATATTTCAAAAGAAAATTGAACATTGGTTTACTTTTTTGCTTTGCAAACTTATGTGTAGCTTTCTTGTAATGTATTCCTTTACATTTTATATGTGAATGGTCAGCATTGTGAGCATTTAGTTGTTGCTGATGAATTTGGTAGACTGTACACTAATGCATCTCAGAAAATATAAACATTGCCTTTAAGKGGGGGGGAAAGGCATTTTAGGACTGGGACACAGCTCAGTTGAGAGAATGCTTGCCTAACCTGCACTAGGCCTGGGTTTTATCTTCAGCATTGAAAAWATATATATATTTTAAAGAGAATCTCTACACTTAAAAAGGACATAATAAAGCAGCCTCAGTCACCTTTCATATGGTAACAACAGACTGAGGATCATAAGGAATGTAAGATTAGGGGGAAAGAGCATAGAATTAATATCAAATAATTCCTCTTAAACTTGATTGATTTAATATCAAATAATTCCTCTAGAAACTTGATTGATGTAATATTCTCTAACCTCAGGAGGAAGATTATTTTAATTCATTTCAATTCAATTGAGCTCTAATGAGGAAGTATTAACAGTTCATTCTACACAAGGCATTGTGCTAGATTTTGTGGGATATAAAGGGTGGCAAATATATGGCCATTGCCTTCAATGAATTAACTATCTGGTAAAGTGGGCTAGACATGTACAGAATAAGTAGAGTGTAATAAAATGATGCATTCTACAAGAAGTTACCAAAAAGTTCTATAAAAGGGAAAATGGTTGCCTCGAAAATGAACAAGGCCCTGGGTAATCCCAGCGCACCACAAAAAAAAAAAAAAAAAAAAAAGAATGGTTATTTTTGTATCTTAACATACAAAAAAGCAGAACATTAATTCATGCCTATTTTTCTCCATATACTAGACAATTAATTATTAAATTTACTCATTCATTCAGTCATTAAACCTATTCATTCAACAGATGTTTTTGAGACCTTCATATGCCAAGTATTTTCTAGATATTCTAGATTACTTATGGCTACATAGCATTTAATTTAAGAAAAGAGTCAGGTTAGATTTTACAGGGAATATAAGCAAAGGATTTTCCAAGTGGACAGAACTTTGTTTCAAGGCAAAGATGAGGGTGCTTAGAATCTACACAGTGTGGCTAGAGAAAGGCCAGTCATTGATTTTGTTTGAAGTCTTGATTAAGGAYGATAATGGGAAATAAGACATGAAATAGGCTGTTTTAGTTTGATAGGTTTTATAGAATTGCCCATAACAGCTTTAAGTTAAATATTGCTAAATATTATAAAAGTTCAAAATATAAAGCACAAAGCACAATATTATTCATCAACCTTCATTTTGGGTTACTTCTTAGATCCTAATAGAATTTCTGAAATACTTTGGAAAAGTCTCCTAACCTTCAGAGAGTGGATGGGAGTGAAGTAAGGAGACCCAACCTGAGCAGACACATGGTATTGCTTACAATAAAGTACAGTTTTTTTTCCCACTTTGCAGCATTTAACAATTTATTTTGGCATAGGGAACAAATAGTGGCAAATATTTAAACAATAGATTTTAATAATTTATTGTTTCACATCATATGTGTTCTTATGAATTTCGATGCTGTACCTTTAAGAAACAAAAATATAAACTATTTCTTGGCGGGTTATTTTTCAGATATTCATATCCAACATACTTCTTTTCTAAATCTTTTTGTTAGAACTTRTATGCCCCCAATATTATTTAGGGTTATTATAAAGCACAAAAACATACAAAAAAAGCAGAACATTAATTCATGCCTATTTTTCTCCATATACTAGACAATTAATTATTAAATTTACTCATTCATTTAGTCATTAAACCTATTCATTCAACAAATGTTTTTGACACCTTCAAATGCCAAGTATTTTCTAGATATTAAGTTTTGTTGATAAGTAAGGCAGATAATATCCCTTTCCTTTATGTGCTTATATTTTAATAGGAAAGTTAGACAATAAATAAAAATAAATGAACAAGATAATTTTAGAAGTCAATAAGTGAAAATAATAAAAATACCTATCAAAGAGTCACAGGGAATAATAACTTAGATTGGGTAGTCACTGAAGGTATTATTTAATGACAAAGAGGATTTCTAATTTTGAAATAAAATATCTCATAAAATGTTTTGTTCTTTTCTAGTTTTTATCAGAATAAACTCCTGTAAATGAAAAGTTATATTACCATTGAAAGCTCTAGAGATCTCATAATATTTAACTATTTTTGTTACACTTATAAGGAGCTTATTACTGGTATCTACATTATAGGCATATGGTAAATTTTTGGAAGAAACCTAATAATCTGAAAAGCAGTAGAGGGTACAATATCTCCTGAAGTGATATTATTCCACAGAGAGGTATATTTGAACTGGGACAGCTGGATTCACCATAGAAATTCTAGGGGAATTGGGAGAGTATAGATAAGACCTACTTAACCATGTAGCAGTGAGAGCTTCCTGACTGGGGGAATGGGCATAGCATAGTCCTGATAAGCTTGCTCTGCTGAATAACCAAAAGGGAGAAGAGAGAGAGCCATCAGGGCCATCCAGAAATAAAGACTTGTCTCTCCACCATTGGGAGTCTCATTGATAAGTCTCTCCATTAGCTCTGGTTGTTACCTGGTCCTGAATATGCTAATTTCCACAGTATTGTCTAGGARAAAATTATTAATAAGATCACCAGGTGGGTTAGGTAAAGGTGCAAAGCTAAAAATAATAATAAACTCACATTATGTGCTCTAATTCCTGGCTAGCCACAGAAAAGTGTTTTGGGAATTTCTATTAATATCTGGAATAGGAAAGAGAAAGTCATTTTTCACCTCCCTTGAGGGCTGTTTCCCAGGGTCAGACAARTTCATATCTAAAAAACATTTATTATTTCTCCAAGAAATGAGCCATATTGTTGTTTGAAGTGATTGATTTAGCAACGTCCTACCACTTACCATGTACCATTAAAGTTCAATTGCAGTGTCAGAAGAGGAGGTCTGCCAAATCATCTGATATAAAGACGGTGTCTGTCTTTTAAATGAACAATATGTTGTATTCATCATGTACTGAGGTCAAAGCAAGGGGTTAAAAAAAGAAAAAAGAGTATATTATTCCTCTTGACTCCTAACTCCTAAATGCTTTGGAGTTCAAACATGAAGGAGGGGCCTTTAAATAATATGACAACCTATAGCTTGTAAATTATCAGGGAATGCTGGACCAACAAGTACTGTGGAGGTGTTTTTCAAAAAGGCTGGCTTAATTAGCAAATGAAATAAACTTGATAGATGATGGTGGGTTCTATGTCTTTGAAATACTTTGAAAGATGTCATTTTCTTCCTTCATTGTGCTATGAATTCAAACAGGAACCCAATAAGGTAGTCATTATACATTCTTGACTGCTTTTTTCATGTCTCATATTTTCCTTTAGATTCAGTCCCTTCTCTTGGTATCTCCATATTAAAAATAAAAATCRATTTGTGACTAATTTGTTGTGCCTATTTCCTTTGGCAGGAGATACCTCAGAAAACTACGTGTTTAAGAAGTCTGTCATAGGTGTCCCAATGGCCTTACCATGAAACTGTCCAATAGCAATGATTCATGAAACATTGTACAAATTTAATTCAGTCATTCTAAGGCAGTTTGTGCTCTATGGACATGAATGATGCCTGAAATTCACCCAATTTTGAAGGATATTCAGATGCCATGGAATGTCAACAACCTACTATTGCTATAGTAGATGAATGCAGTATTCCATAAGATTTTGTCACCTTTGAGAGAGGCTATCACATTAGTTAATAGTATTTTATTGTCATTTGTCAAGTCTTACAGGCAAAGATCTTACTGAGACAATGGTTGGTTAAAACAGAAAGGAGGGCTGGGGATGTGGCTCAAGTGGTAGCGCGCTCGCCTGGCATGCGTGCGGCCCGGGTTCGATCCTCAGCACCACATACCAACAAGGATGTTGTGTCCGCCGAAAACTAAGAAAAAATAAATATTAAAAATTCTCTCTCTCTCTCTCTGTCTCTCTCTCCTCTCTCACTCTCTCTAAATAAAAGAAAACCACTTTAAAAAAAAAAAAACAGAAGGGAGACATCTCTGTGTTGAATAAGTATAAGACCACATTTTGTGAATTTGGGTAAGGTCTTATGGGACAGGATTGGCCCCTGATAGGATGTGATATCTCCACCTTTTAATAGAGTTTCCCTGGGCTTTTTATCTCCTTAGGAGATTTTGGTTTTATAAAAACTATTTGTGGAATAGGAATGTTGGGTTGAAGACTAAGAACACCTGCCCAGTTAGGCTCAGTAATAAGATAGCAGGAACTTTCCAAAGAAAATATACCATTTAGCAATAGAAGGAAGTCATTGAGTTCAAAGATCCAGGAGGTGACAACAACATGAAGTATTATTTTCTAAGGCTTCAGTCATGATAAGTTGCTTAGACTTATCTGTATTTTGTGAGTAGACAGGATATAACAATCTAAAGTTAAAACTTGTTTTCATGATTCCTGGACTTATTCTAAAGCTTTTTAGTGTAAGGGCTTCCATATAAAAGTAGTTGCATTGATACAGATGCTTTAAAGAATCAATCAGGTATAGAATGCGATGTCACCACTAAAGTCATTTGTGTTTGGGGTTGCAGAATCCATAAATATCCTTCCTTTGAAGGATATGGAATGTGTGTTTTTGATGCTGTCTATATGATGACTTCTTGCTTCCAAGTTGAGTTGAATGACAGGTCCTAGATTTTGTTTTTATTTAAAGTTTTCTTTAATCTGATGTACTTAACAAATATACAATGCATTTTCAGGGCAGATCAGTGTCATCAATGTAATCAAATGTTTCAATAGTGTTAGCAGTTCACATTGTGGTACTTTTTGTCCTATCTATTGAAATTATGACAGGAATTCAGATAATCTCAAGGAAGATTAGTTAAGGTATGTTACATGTTTTGCCTAATCCTTAGCTGCATATATATATATTAGTAACAGTAGTAGTTTGTTCTATAGCTTGCATAATGACAGAGACGAGGGCATCAAATAGAGCTATTTATTTCTTTCTTAAGCTTCTGTAGTCCACTATGGAGTATCCAGTGTTTTTTTTTGTTTGTTTGTTTGTTTTGCTTTGTTTTTAACATTACATAGAATCCCTGCCTACATGTTATATTTCAATGGGAATGTAATTTATTTTTACCCTCTTTGTATGCAATATTATTGAATGATAATGCCAGTTCAGACACTTCTTTACCATGTGCATGACCAACWTTTATCATGTATGAGATCAGCCATTATAGATGTTTCTAACAGGTTAGTTGTCCAACAAGTATTGCTGTGTATCTGTTTCAAGTTTAATAATTAAGAAATCACATATTAATTATGTAACCTGAGAAACAGTAAAATAGAGTACAAAATAATAGCTTTGTGTGTCAGGGATACTCAAGACCAGTTCCATTACTAGGAAAACTTAATGTCATTTATTGCAGAAAAAAAGGGGATTCAAAGCAAAATCAGCAAAAGGTAATGGTCTGTGGGGAAAAAATCCAGAAGAAACAAGATGTAAGTYTCCAAGTGTTCTCTCCCACTGGAGTCACAAGCTGTTCTTAATTTCTCCAGCAAGTAACAAAATGTGTGAATGCTAGAGAAGTTCACTATTGACTCAGTGTCTGGGGTTTTTACTAAAGGCTAGTCAAATAGAACTTTCTATCTGCCAAGTTCCAAACTTCCAGTCACTCAGAAGGATAAACAGGTTTTTAGCATAAACTACATTCTTTGTACAGTATAGGTACATGAGCCACTCTAATAGTTTGGGGAGTAGCTGGAACCTTTCCAAAGTTCCCAGGTGCCAATTAAGTGTCAACTTTGCAGTTAAGCCTTTCTAAGGATAGCAGTCTCAGGCCTGCTATCTTCTCCCTCTATAGGATGTGCTGTGGTTCTTGGCCAAGACATTTTTACATTAAAATTATTATCACTAGGGCCTCATACTCCAAGGTGAGACCATTCTGCATTATTGATCTCAGTTATGCCCCATAGGAGTCCTGGACTTAGGTAATTTAAAAACTTCCTTTAACCATATCTTAGACAGCCAAGTGGATTTATCCTTAATTTTCTGTGCTGACCTTTTTTATTTGACTTAAGGCACCAATTCAGGTACTTAGCACAACTCTGGGCAACTCTGGTCAGTTGAAGCTGACTAGGAGTGAGGTATGATCATAATAGTTGGAGTACATATACAAGAAGTATAATTCCAGAGAGCACAAGTGGTACTCCTGGAAACAAAGGCTTTACAATTGTTAGGATATATGTTAGGCATTTCAGCTTAATGGAGGCTATGTGTGGGTCTCCCACTGTGGTACCTCTCCCTTAGGTCTCCTAGGCCAGTCCAATTGATTTAATTGAGCTCTTTGTTTAAGAAAAACAAAAAAAAAACTTTTTGAAATCAATCAGTTCCTTTTGTCAGTGACTCAGTTCATCTGCCTGGCAAGTAGATGACATCTGCAGGTGTTCTGAGTAGAAAGTGCAGGAATTGGCCACCCTTTATTGTCTCCTAATCAGCATTATCAAGTGTGTTTTTGAGTTCAGTATTCACTTGGAAGTGCTCTTAGTAGCTTAAGCAGCACAGGAAAGTAGGGAAACTTGTGGAGCATTTCTGAAAAACAAAGAGATGATTTATGCCTCTTCTTCCCCAGGACCTCCTACGGTACAGAGGTTCCCTCCCACCGGGTACAGAGGTTCCCTCCCACCGGGTGTTACAGAATCAGGGTTCCCATTTGCTTTACATTTTTTACAAGTCATGTTCTATTTTCATCCAAGACATTTGACTAGAAGGGTTGCATAGAAGGACTAAAGAATTTTCACAGAAAAACATTTTAGACAACTTAATCCAAAAGACATGTCATGCTCAGGAATGGTCAGAATGAAACACTTAAAGATGTTGTGTCCGCTGAAAATTAAAAAAGAAGAGAGATTGCTATCTTTAACTTGTTACCTAATTTCAATTTCATATTTATTACCATTAATTAATGAATAGTTATGATCACATACTTAATATCCTTATTGATTATGAAAATGATTCTTCAGTTGCAAATAAAATGTTCTTCACATAATCTAATAACAGATGTTTTGTAATTCTAAAGCTCAGAGAAGAAAAGATCTAGCTCTGCTATTTCAGATCTTTCACAGAACCTCAATTCTCAAGATAAATCAGCTTTTTTAGAGATTTCACATGAAGTTTCAACTGATGAAGCTCTACTTCATACATCTTCATCAGAGAACCATGATAAACCACGTAAAATAGAATCACCCAGCAAAAAAAWTCAAGAATCACCATCTGTCAAAATATTACCTGATGAGAAAGAAACAGTGATACCATCCTTGATTTTACCTCCTGTTCTTAATGAAGGAAACTCAAAGGTATTTATTCTGAATTATTAGACTCTTTCAGTATCTTGAATAAATGTTAATTAAAAACTCATCAATATTATCTTATATAGAATAAAAGTCTTCTTCGATAACACAACTGGTTTTATATTTAGAATGTTGAAGGTAATATTTGGAAATCTATATGATACCTTTAACTTATAAACATTTCTAATTGGTATTGACACAAAGTTGTGATAAAAGTAATATAATTACTGAAAGAAGGAAAATTTTTACATTTTTTAAATTTCAGATTCATCTACACAAAAACTTCCATAATAAGGTGATTGTAAACACGTAATAGTTTTAAAATAATTTTATATACTTTTAAAGAAGACAGAAATTTTTAAGAATTTCTTTTGCTAGAAAAGTATTTAATTATGAAATTGTTATGGTAAAAATCCTGGGAAAAAGAAAAAAAGGTAAAAAGTCTGTATATACTTGATATGTGTCTATTATGTATTTTTATCATAGAATTATTTTTAAAAACTTTGCAAGCATTGAACTTTGTATAAAGATTGAAGCTTATTAAAATGCAAATCTAAACAAGAATTGTAATCAATAATTGTTAACTCAATTTGTTTGGAAGTATCTATGAGGGAGAATCATATTATTACCGAGTTTCCTGTGGTACTATTCAGTATTCACAGTTGCCTCTCTGATCCATTAATTGTGTCCACGTTTTTTATTTGATACATTCAGGAAAATTATAGTTTCTTCAATGTATTATAGATGAGAGTGAAAAACTAGCTTTCTTTCTAAAAGAAGGTAAAATAGAGTTCTGAGATATTTAATTTGGAATTACTTACTGTACCTTTTGTTATGAAGGTTGATGTATCAGAAGAGAAATTACAAACAGAAACTCAAAACCAAACAGCAGAAGAATTTGAAGGTAAAATGATTTCCTGTCATGTAATATGAAATATGAATGTCCCTATGCTATAATTAGAAGTAAATGAAGGAAGAATATTATTAAATTGTTAGTCATCCARTGGTTTAGAAGAATAATGATAGCTATATAAAAATTTGATAAGTTACCATTATATTTTTCAGAGAGTCTATTTCAAGTAACTAAGTCTGTATAAGAGATAAGTAATAACTTTGCTTGAATGAAACAGGTGTATTTATTAGTATAAACAATATCATATCAAAATCAGATCAGGTGAATATCAGAAAAAAAGATCATTTCTGATATAAATAAGTGTTTGCTCTATAATATATTATAAAACAAAAATAAATGTGTTATTTCTTTATAGTATGTCTAACTTTAATATTCAATTTATATTTTATTGCACTAGACTATACTTTCAAAACAGAATGGAATGTTTGTGATGTATGGTGCTAGAATATCAATATTCTATTGTGTTTTTGAATGAGAATGCTTCTACTGTTTCACCTATGATGATTGGTTATTTTGATCAGAATGCTTTCTTTTATTTATTCTGAGTTTATTTCAAATTTTTACTAGGAGTGGCATTAATTATATTTACAGTGTTGTACAATCATCACTTCTACATCTATTGCACAACTTTTCATTACTCCAAAAAGAATCTCATTAAGCAATAACTTCCTTTCCCTCCCCACACAGTCCCTGGTAATCTCTATTCCATTTTCTGTCTCAGTGAATTTGCCTGATCTATATAATAAACTTAAGTGAAATCAGATGATATCTGTCCTTATAAGTTATTGTTTCCTTTACTATATAAAAATTAATTTGATAAGTTACCATTATATTTTTCAGAGAGTCTATTTCAAGTAACTAATTTGAATTCATCCAATGTATTGATTGAAGCTTTTTAATTTGAATTCATCTGATATATTGATTCTTGATTTTACTTCTTGTGCTTTAGGAGTCTTGTTAAGGAAGTCAGATCCTAGGCAGACATGATGAAGATTTGGGCCTACTTTTTCTTCTATTAGATTCAAGGTCTCTGGTCTAATTCCTAGGWCCTTGATCTGCTTTTAGTTGAGGTTTGTGCATGATGAGAGATGGGGGCTTAATTTAATTTTGTTGCATATGGATTTCCAGTTTTACTAGCACCATTTGTTGATGAGGCTATCTTTTCTCCATTATATGTTTTTGGCACCTTTGTSTAGTATGAGATAACTGAATTTATGTGGGATTGTCTCTGTGTCCTCTATTCTGTACCATTAGTCTATAAGTCTGTTTTGGTTCCAATACCATGCTGTTCTTGTTACTATTGCTCTGTAGTATAGTTTAAGGTCTGGTAGAATGATGTCACCTGCTTCACTCTTCTTATTAAGGATTGCTTTAGCTAATTCCAGATGAATTTCATGATTGCTTTTTCTATTTCTATGAGGAATGCCATTGGAATTTTTATTGGATTTTTAAAAATCTGTATAGTGCTTTTGGTAGTTTGGTATTTTTACAATATTATTCTGCCTATCCAAGAACAAGGTACATCTTTCCAACTTTAATTTCGTTCTTTAGTGGTCTGTAGTTTTCATTGTAGAGGTCTTTTACCTCTTTTTTTGATTCCCAAATATTTTATTTTAATTTTTGACACTATTGTAAATGTGATAGTTTTCCTAGTTTCTTTTTCAGAGGATTTGTCATTGATGTACAGAAATGACTTTGATTTATGGATGTTGATTTTATATTCTTATACTTTCCTGAATTCATTAATAAATGAAATCTGGAAGTTCTAGAAGTTTTCTGGTGGAATTTTTTAGATCTTCTAGGTATAGAATCATATCATCAGCAAATAGTGATAATTTCAGTTTTTATTTCCATATCTGTGTTACTTTAATTTCTTTCATCTAATTGTTCTGACTAGAGTTTCAATAACTATGTTAAATAGACATGGTGAAAGAGGGAATCCTTGTCTTGTTCCCGTTTTTAGAGGGAATGCTTTCAATTTTTCTCCATTTAGAATGATGTTGGCCTGGGACTTAGCATAGATATCTTTTGTAATGTTGAGATATATTCCTGTTGTCCCTAGTTTTTTCTATTGTTTTGAACATGAAGGGGTGCTGTATTTTGTTGAATGCTTTCTCTGCATCTATTGAGATGATCATAGGATTCYGTAAGTCTATTGTTGTGATGAATTAGATTTGTTGATTTTCATATGTTGAAGCAACCTTGTATCTCTGGGATGATGAACCCCCCTTGATCGTGAAGCACTATCTTTTTGATATGTTTTTGTATTTGATTTGCCAGAATTTTATTGAGAAATTTTGTACCTATGTTCTTTAGAGATATTGGTCTGAAGTTTTCTTACTTTGATGTGTCTTTCCCTGTTTTTGGAATCAGGGTGATATTGGCTTCATAGAATGAGTTTGGAAGTGTTCCATCTTTTCTATTTTATAAAATAATTTGAGGAGTATAGGTATTAATTCTTTGAAGATCTGGTAGAATTCAGCTGTGTATCCATGTGGTCTTGGACTTTTCTTGGTTGGAAGGCTTCTGATGGGATCGTCTATTTCATTGCTTGAAATTGATCTGTTTAACTTGATTCAGTTTGGGCAAATCATATGACTGTAGAAATCTGTGTATGTCTTTGATATTTTCTACTTTCCTGGAGTACAAATGTTCAAAATAATTTCTAATTATCTTTCTGTAGTGTCTGTCATGATATTCCTTTTTCAACACAGTTTTTAGTAATTTGAGCTTTCTCTCTTTTTCTTCATTAGCATGGCTAAGGGTTTAATCAATTTTATTTATTTTTTTCAAAGGACTAACTTGTCACTTTTTCAGTTGTTACTTTAATTTCAATTTCATTGATTTTAGCTCTGATTTTAATTACTTCCTGTCTTCTACTGCTTTTTATGTTGATTTGTTCTTTTTCTAGGGCTTTGAAATGTAATGTTAGGTCATTTAATTGTTGACTTTTTCTTCTTTTAAGGAATGAACTCCATGCAATGTTCTTTCCTCTCAGTACTGCCTTCATAGTGTCCCAGAGAATCTGATACGTTGTATCAGTGTTCTGATTTACCTGTAAGAATTTTTAATCTCCTCTTTGATGTCTTTTGCAACACATTATTCAATCAATAACAAAGTATTTAGTCTCCAGATGGTGGAGTAGCTTCTATTTTTTATTTTGTCATTGATTTTCAATTTCATTCCATTATGATCTGATAAAAAGCATGGTGGTATCTCTACTTTTTTTCATTTGCTAAGTTTCTTTGTGGCTTATGGTATGTTTTAAAGAAGGATCCATTTGCTGCTGAGAAGAAAGTATATCCATTTGGTGAAGGTTGAAATATTCTATATATGTCAGTTAAGTAAGTTATTGATTGTATTATTGAGTTCTATAGATTCTTTATTTTCAACTTTTGTTTGGAAGATCTGTCTAGTAGTGAGAGAGGTATGTTAAAGTCACCCAAGATTATTGTGTTATGGTGAATTTGACTCTTGAGAAGAATTTGTTTGATGAACATAGCTGCACCATTGTTTAGGGCATATATATTTATGATTGGTATGTCTTTTGATTAACTTTGATTAACTTTGGCTTGTAGTTTACTTTATTTGATCTGAGGATGGAAACCCCTGCTTGGTTCCCAGTCCATGTGAGTGGTATGATTTTTCCCAACATTTTATCTTCAGTCTGTTTGTGTCTTTTCCTATTGGATGAGTCTCCTGGAGGCACATTTTGTGGGGTCATTTTTAAAAATCCAGTCTGCTAGCCTATGTCTTTTGATTGGTGAGTTTAAGCCATTAACATTCAAGGTTATTATTGACACATGGTTTGCATTCCCAGCCATATTTGTTTATTTTTGTTATTTAACTAGACTTGATTTTCTTCTTTGATTAGTTTTTCCTTTAGGGTACTACCTCACTCTGCTGATTTTCATTATTGTTTTTAATTTCCTCCTCATGGAATATTTTTCCAAGGATGTTTTGTAGTGCTGGTTTTTTACTGTAAATTCTTTTATCTTTTGTTTATCATGGAAGGTTTTTATTTCATCATCAAATCTAAAGCTTAATTTTGCTGGATGGATACAAGATTCTTGGTTGGCACCCATTTTCTTTCAGAGCTTGATATATGTTGTTCCAGTATCTTCTAGATTTCAGAGTCTGTGTTGAAAAATCTGCCATTATCCTAATTGGTTTCCCCAATATGTAATCTGATTCCTTTCTCTTGTGGCTTTTAAAATTCTCTCCTTATTCTGTATATTAGGCATTTTCATTATAATGTGCCTTGATGTGGATCTGTTGTGATTTTGTACATTCAGCATTCTGTAGGCTTCTTGAATTTGGTTTTCCAATTCATTCTTCATGTTGGAAAGTTTTCTGATATTATTTCATTGAATAGATTGTTCGTTCCTTTGGTTTGGACTATGCTTTCCTCTATCCCAATAATTCTTAAATTTGGTCTTTTTATGCTGTCCCATATTTCTTGAGTGATCTATGTTATTTTCAAGATTATAATTTTTTCTTCATTGTCTGATGTCCTATCTTCCAAGTGGTGATGTTTTCATTTGAGCTTTTAATTTGGTTTATTGTTTCTTTCATATCAAGGATTTCTGTTTGTTTGGTTGTTTTTTGTTTTTGTTTTTGTTTTAGAACCTCTATCTCCCTGTTGAGGTGATTTTTTGCTTCTTGGATTTGTTTATGTAGCTTCTTGTCAAAGTGATCTTTCACTGCTTGTATTTGTTCACAGAACATTTTAACCATGTATATCCTGAACTCTTTCTCTGTCATTTTTTCTTCTGTGGCTGCCAATGATTCTAATGATGTGGTGTCTTGATTTGTTTGTGGTACTTTCTTCCCTTGTCTTTTCATGTTGTTCATGTGTTTTTCTTTCCAGCTCTGTGGGTCTGTGGTGTTATTGTTTTTACCCTCTAGGTTTATGGTGCTCTTGTGGGGTTACAAGATCCCTCCTTTATGGGAAGGACAATGTTAACTGATTGAAATATCAACAATATATC